GATATTTTGTTCGCATTGCCGGCCCATTAGGCCTACCGTCAAAAGACACAACTTTAACAACACAAAAATCCAAGAAACAAGTTATTTTGCTAGCTTTCTATAACTATTCCATTCTTTGAAAATGGCGAATCGAAAAATACGAAATCTCAAATTTCTTTATCGAACTCTCTGCCTTCCCATTTCACAACAACTTTTAACGCATAACATTCGCATGGCGCCTTGAAATTCAGTTCTATTCAGAGCCATTGCATTGCATATCACGTGTTAATGTTACCATTAGAACCCTGAAGTTCAGGCATTTATTTTATGGGGCATGCAAATCAGACAATTATTCTGGCTAAAGTACGGGGTAAAACCAGAGGAAACGTGAAAACATCACCATTTAACAGTAATTACAGTAAAAAAATTAATAATAAAAATGATTCACATTTTTATTCTAAATCTAAAATTTGCATTAGCACTCACGTGGAAGGAAACTATCTTTTTCTTGTAATCTTGATTTCATATGACCATCCGGTATGTCGACTACTAATTTATTTTACTCGCGCGCTGTCTCCACGAAATGCTATTGTGGACTCACTTTTTAATCTTGAAATGGTATCAATGAAAAACGGAATTGTAGATATCGTTCTTCTCACTTGTGTGATCGCCAGAAGGGAAGTCAACAAGAAGGAAGTGAGAAGGGTTAATCACGTACAGGCAGTTTTGTCCTCAGAAGAGATCTGAAGCCATACACAAACATAGAATGAGATTTCTTGTGAACAAGTAAGTCCGCAAGCATCAATGAAAAATATCAAAATTCTTCACTTGTTTCATCTTCCTTTCCCTTTTAGATTTTTACGACAACCTCCAAGTAGAGCCTGCGCGTCCACAGAAAGACAATACAAGACTGTGCTGTAATTTGTGCCTACTTGCTTGTATGTTTCCTGCTTGAGCTAAAATAGGCAAAAAAAAAAAAAAAGGCAAAACGAAAATCTACTAAAACAACTTTCGAAGTACAATAAGTGATTCCTATTGTTAAAAGTCATAAAATCGTAACAATGATAAAAATGCATTTGCCAAACTTCCTGGCTCTAGTATCATGCATGATATGACAAATAAAGTTGTCTTTTTACGGTGATTTACTTTTTAAAATAGTCTTACACAGGGACGTATCGAAGTTTGTTTTCATCCAAGGGAAAGAATTCCGGATGTGGGATTAAGCTTCATTTCAAAGGTGAAGAGGTAAAATTGCAGTAATTTTGGTGCAAAAGTAAGTAACAAATTAATTCTAAGATACTTTAATTGACATAATATGAGACACACTTTTTGCATTTCCTTTCGCACTTAATCGTTGCGAATGAAATGAAAAGTTTTTTTCAAAAAGATATTGGGAACTGTATGAGTATGGCGTGAATCAACAAACTGATGCTTTAGAAGACAGCATTGAATTACGATAAATAGTACTACTATTAGGAATAACATTTTTACCTAAGTTCTTACCTTGTGGTTTTATGCTTAGATACTTTATAAAATATCTTACTGTATTTACAAAACATGAAAAATGATTTAAAAACTGAAAACTTAAGCTAAAACTGAACTTTATGGGTTTTTCGGTAGCAAAAATATTTTAGAATGTTCTCGAAAAATAGCTTTGAAGCTAAACTTCTGCTCTATGGAAGTGACGTTCAGGTCGGTTAGTCTTTATCCTATTAAGATTTTGAGGACAATTTTTACGTGTTTAGTTTCCAAAAACGCTTATCATTAGAGGGTTCTAAGACTGGCATTGTGAAAATATTCTCAACACTAGAGTTATGTTGGAATTCGCATCTTGATATCCGTTTTGTGTATTACCGTCAGAAGACATGATGCATGATACTTCAAACTTTACACTTCTATCGCCAGCTCGCCCCTTTGAAAGTAGTGGAACGTAACTAGTTCCTCAATTATTCCCCATTTATTGTTCCAAAGTGAGTTCCACGGAGAAAGCCAAGTAAACTATTCGTGCCTGGAAATGCTTGAAGACTTTGTCTCGGTTCATTCTGACTCCCATCTATTTCTATAATTAACCATCTGAATCTTTTTTCTTCTGCGAATGAATTTCATCTTCGCTCTTTCCATTTTCATCAAACACCCGCTACTTCTCTTCCCTCCTTAATTATTTAAAATGGGGAAGATCTAGCTTAAGCTTTTCAGTTACTACTTTCGCTTCTGTTACTGCATCAGCGGAACTGTTTGACCTTTCTGATTCTAATTCTCAGATAAGACGGTAAGTATGTCTTGCTGATCTGGTTAATAAGTTCAGCGAGTGGATGATGTTCTCTCTTTGTAACAGTTTACTGACAATGTCAATGAGGCGTAATTCCCTATATCACAACCAGGAGAAGACAATGAAATCGAACGTTTGACATTACTTAGAAGAGAAGTTGCTTCCATTTTTGCTTCAGCAATAGTCATTGGAATAGTTCCACGAGCAGGAATCTATTATTTTTACCAAATGCGCATATACCTCAGTTACAGTTGCCCTCTTAGCCGACTATCTGGTATCGCTTAGCAATTTGAGAGATAAGGTAACATGCTTTACTAGAACTTCCCATCTATTGGTGGAAGAAGCCAAGGCGTTTAGGGACCTCTCTTGTTCCAACGCCCATGACATGAACCCCGATTGTTTCCGGTCCCTAGTTACGTCTCTGGCTCTACAAAAAAGACTTCGGAGAACTTACATGAACTATCGCATTTTCTTTCAATTCAACCTTTTTCTTACACTCACATTTCCAGGTCTGAACTTTTTATCTTCTGACCTTGCTTCAAAGAATGTTACTGACTTAACCTTATGGGGAGGGTTTCTTCTGGGAATGTCGGAATTAAAAAACGGTGGTGAGATACCACGCCCCAATGAGAAGGCAAGGTAAAATCACTGGCTTTGCTCTCAGCCTCTCCTTCCCTTTCTCGCTTTGCTCTCTATTTCTCTCCATCGTTTTCCTCTATCTCGGTGCCTTTCCCTCGTTCTTCCCTGCGTTTCCAATTCTCTCTCTCTCTCTCTCTCTCTCTCTCTCTCTCTCTCTCTCTCTCTCTCTCTCACACACACACACACACACACTCACACATTCCCCAAGACTGATCTCTTTCTGCACTCGTATATTCACTGTAGATGTACAGAAATTCTAGCTACGTGTCTCCAAAGCAAAAGACAAAATAGACTGATGGTCTAATCTAGATGAATTAATCTCAAGTCAATGTCCAAAATATTCCTTACATAGTAATCGGGTAACCTGCGCGACTCGTGTTTGTTACAGCTAGACCTCTTGACGTCCTCCATTTGGGGTAAACGTGGTATCGATTCGACAAGTCTCCGCCTGCAAGAACTGGATGTTTTTCCTTTACCTGGTTATCTAATTTAAAAACCTGATGTGTAGTTTAATTTCCTATTTATAAACAGGAAAATACTTTCAACTGTTTAAAACGACGGATAAACCGCACTAAGCTTTTTTTCAAGTCTCATGACTAAAAAAATGTGAATGCTATTGGAAAATAGTCAAGTAATATCAAATGGCATTCTTTAAGAAGTCAACAACCGTTCTCATTAAAAGTTTCTAATTGAAGAATTGAATTCTGTAATCGTAATTGTCAGGGGAGTGCTCCCTGATATATATATATTTAAATACTACTGAAACAGTTTGGATTTCGGTACCCGATGAAGACGAGATTTAAAATTCTTAAAATAGCGATGAAGCAGTAATAAATATGAAAATAACTCTAGGATCATTCAATAGCATCGCTCTCAGACTAATATTTACCCTTCTGTGACTTTCAGGTCGCTGGTAAATGGCCCTTTCTTGGAGCCTTGTCGCATGACATGACCTGTGTCGTTCGCGTAATACGAGTACACTCAGTCGGTACGCGCAGTTCGAGAATATACGGAAAAACAATCAAACATTTGCATTATTTACATTTACAATAAAAAAAATGCAATATGAATATTCAATCCCGGAGTTTCCCCCTTTTTAACCCATTTGGGAAATTATTATACATTTGGGGAACAAATTGTCTAAGCCATCTAGCAACCGCAAGATATGAAATCAATTGCATGTATTAATTGTATCAATAAAAATACAATGTCACTTTCCTTTCAGTATGTTTTAGTTATAAGTAATGAAATATGTCCTATGTAAATAAAAAAAAAATCAACAGAAAAGGGAGCCCAGAAATATATACCCCCATCTTGTTTTAGGCTATGGGTGCTTACGAGTAAGTGTACCCCAAAGCCCATAATCAGCATGAAACAAAATGGAAACAAATCGTTCCGCAGTATTTACAAGATAGTACAGATTTGGGCATTCTTCTTAAGGAGTCCTATTAAATCACAGCACATGATTCTCAATGTAACGGTTTACAGAGTATGTATTTCACAGGGAAATACTTGAAATGATTCATCTCAAATTTCCGAGGAAAATTTATCATTCTTTGCACAAATTAGATGGACATTACGCGCAAAATCAATTAAAATACATAACATTCTGCAAGGGATAATTAACTCCACTTATATTTTTTTTAATATTTCAATATTAAAAAATTGTAAATTATTTTAATCAACGGCACATTTGGGAAGAGTTTTCGCAAAATACTGCACTGTTCTCTGAAATTAGTATGTTTCGAATCCAATTCAATTCATTTTAGTTTTCGTTTTTATACTTTATTATTTCTCTGATGTCCAAGAGTTTTGAAGCTTAAATACGGTACTCGTTAAGGTTTGTAAATTCAGAAGTACACATTATTCTAAACTGGTAACAAAGCTTCTCTTGACGTTCGACAAAACAATTTGTACTGCTAGTAACGAAAGAATTTATATATTAATCACTAAAACAGTACTAATTTGAAATAACACATAATTTAATTCGAAATAATTTACCTATGACAGATCTTTCACATGACAGCAATGACGTTTACCAATTGTCAAAATTTCCCGGGGACTACCCCGCGCAAGTTAATATCCATAATTGACAATTTGGAGTAAAAAAAAATAAGAATTTGACACATGAAAATTATAAAAGAAACTCACTTATCACAACGGAGAAATTAAACACAGCTTGAAACTATTAAAATTAAATGCTACTTTGACACCTCTCCTACCTGTTCATGATGCCGAAGAACACGTGGTCATATTGAGGTCCAGTATGTTTGAAGCAGTAAGATAAACAATGTTGGTTCAAATTGGCAGTAGGAGAAACCAATACATTCGCACAGAGGTACATGAACTTATCTGAATACTACACAATGGGAGTTTTTGCCCATATCCGAAGCATTTCAGCATCATTTGCCGCTAAAATCGCCATTAACTGGAAAAATAATATCTGCACTCTGTGAACAAGTTCCTGTAACTAAAAGGTTTGTTTACGTTTGCACAATCGACTATCGAAATTTTCGATTATTCTTTGGGACGCTGTTGTGTGAACCACGATTGTGAACAGTTAGTGAACAATAGTGAACATGGCGGTTAAAGAGAAGATAGAAAACATTTCGGATGAAATTGAATGGAACGTTGATGCAGAAGTTCAGCTATTCTATGCTATGCATGGTCATAAACCAGTTGGTACGTTAGTAGATACAATTCATTTCCTACTTATGTAAATACAACTTCTCGATGCCATACTTAATTTGTATAATATAACCTTACTAATGAGACCGAATATTTATTTACTTCAGATGTGAATTATAATTTGATATATTTTGGAAGTTTTAATGTGTTTCAAAGGAATTATAACCCAAATTCCTGTACTCTGTATTATTTGCTGCAGGTGTCAATAAGTATTTCCAGATGGTCTGCATATTAGAGAAATTCAAAAATGCAATTAACAACAAGGACAATATAACATCGAAAGTTATTTGGGATCATTTAGATACCATGTACGACCTGCAGGCTTTGGTAAGAATATTGATCTAATTAAAAATGTATGCTGTGTGTAATGATACCAGTAACTGAAAAAGTTTTCAAATCTTATCTGGATTATATGAATGAAATAAGTTCTTTCAATTTTGGGAAATTATAGTTAAATGAAATAAGTGCGGGTAAAATCACCTCTGACAAACAATATCTGTCTGTCTTGGTAAGAATTGAGAGTTCTTCCATGAACATGAATCTCACTTAATTTGTAACCATTAGAAATATTCACATGAAGCCTTGCTCATCATTGGGTCAAGGAGAAAAAAATTCCTTAAAATAAAAAAATTTTTGTAGTACACCAGACAAATTACAATATTTTTTAGAGATGATTTTGTTTTTTATTATATCTCCACTTGTTTAAAATCCTTATAATAATGTATTACTAATATGTACATGTCTTTTTAAGGATGACACCGAAAATTTACCTTTCCCAAATGAGGAAAGAGAATTCAGCCTTCCACTTGCTGAGTTCGCTTCTTTAATGGAAGAAAAGAGAAAAAGCTTGGAGGCAGGTCATGGATCGGTTAGTGAAATTAAAAGAGAAGTAGTCAAGAAAGAAACGATTGACAAGAAAGAAGGAATGGTCAAAGAGGTTAAGAATATTGCTCTTAAAAAGGAAGTGAAAGATATACCAAAAGAAATAAAAAAGGAACCAAAAGAAATCAAAGAACCTAAGAAAATTGCTCCTAAGGAAGTAAAGGAAGTACGACGAGAAAGTAAAGATAAAGAAGCGAAAAAAGAATTTAAAAGAGAGTCTAAAGAATTACCAAAAGAGATTAAGAAAGACGTTACTGAAATTCAGGACCAAAAAGTAATTAAACCCAGAGTTAGTTTAAAAGAAAAAAAAGAAGCTAAGAAAGACGAAGATTTTGAAGATGTTTCATTAGCTACTTTAACTGCAAGAAAGGAAAGAGTGAAGGAAGTGACTGATACAAAGACTGAAGATTCTCCAAAACGAGGTGGAAAGCGGCCAACACGGGGGTCTTTAAAACCAGATGATGCCGGATCAAATAAATCGGCTAGTCCTGTTATCACTGCAACTCCCCCACCTATGAAAAGACGGAGAACATGAGGTGCCAGTGTGCTTTCTGCAGTTTGAGAGTTTTGTGGTTATTCAACATTTGGTGCTTTATTTCATACATTCATCTATGTATTGTAATCACCCATCAAATCAAATATTTTAGGTTTTATAACAATGTGCTACAAGTTTTGCATCAACCCTGAATACAAGATGTTTCCAATTTCTCAGTATAAGAGAATTTTATTAACTCTTGCTTATTGAAAATAAATTAGGATCAATTGGCTGACAATATCAGATTGGTGTTAAAAATTGTAGTACTGTCACCTTTTAATAATCTGTATCTATTTTTGTATTAAAAATAATGTATTCATTATTTAACACAGTAATTGTAACTGAAAGTTGCAATTCTTTGAGTAGAGTGGTATATGAAACATTTACCATTTCTTGTTAGTCTTTGTTGAAGTGCAAAGATATATTGTGATTCCGTCAGTTGTGATAGAGTTCATTGCAACTTGAAATGTGTGCTTATTGCAGTACTCTAAAGAAGAACATTTCTTCTTATGCAAGTCTTTAATTAAAATGCTATTTGTTGATTTAGTTTTTGTAAGAGTTATGAAGAAAATTATTAATAAAATAATGCTATGTTAGACAATTTGTAAGTTTTATGTTCCTCATTTTTTATTTAGTTTTTAGGAGAGTTCCGTTTGTACCTTTTAACTTCTTTATCTCCTGGAGAAGTGATGCTAGGTTTTCTTGGTTCATAAGTTGGAGTATAGTGTTGTAGAATAGTAAACAGCCAAGACTGGTTTTCGGATGTGCCTGGCATCTGAATTTATTTGAAAAAATGAACATTTTAGTGCAACATTGTGTAAGATGAAGATTTATTTAGATTCAGAGAATTAGAAACACCGATTTTCTAAACAATTTTGAAAGTGATAAATTGATTTGAATTTTTAAGTATAAATCTTTGTTGGTTGTACACTGCTTTGTAAATTATTGTATATTTTAGATTCTTTTGTTGTAATGACTCTACACAGTTCAAAGAATTTCTTCAAATGGGTGAATTAAAATGAAGGAACAGTTGAAAATGGAGAAAACCATGTCCATATTTAGTGACATTTTTCTCAGTGACTTCATGCAGTGTCTTTATTGTTTAGGGCAGTTTCTTTAACCCTAGTATGACCTAATTGTTTCCTAATATTTTCCCTCACTCCTGATATGTGGAAGATCACAATTATAATTTAATGTATTTTTTAACATTCAATTAATGTTATCTGGAATTAGCACTAGTTTATAGATTCATTCTTGTTTGCTACCTTGCAAATATGTTGACAGTTTTCTATCTTGAAGTAATTATTCCCTCAAGGTTTTTTTAAGATGTTTGTTAATCTTTTGAATGTGCAGTATTCTTATTTAATTTGTTTTTCAAATTCTGTAAAATTTGAAAAATAAAAAGTTTTGTAAATAACTCTCCTTATGTGTGTGTGTCCAGAGGAGAGAAATCGCTTAAGGTATTTAGCAGAGTTTGTGTTTAATTATTCAATTGTATGCAAGAGATATTGTCTTTCGTTTATATACATGGGCAATAAAATTTTATTTTTAGAAACTAATGTGTTTTTCTGCGATAAGCATAATGATTAGTAGGATGGTCATCAGTTGGACATTAAGTTTGCTTTTGTACTTTTCCTAATGTATCATATTTACAATTAAAATAATTCAGGCATACAAATTTTCATGTAATTAGAAAATATTAACTAATGGCACTTAGTATTCAATTTGATAGTACTTTTTTGATACCCTCCTCCCTCAGGGAACTGACTACAGATAATTGTAGTATGCAGATTAAAGATTATCTTTGAGTACAAATTATTATTTCACTTTTTCAAGAGAAAGTTTCTCATTATTTTTACATATTTAATATTAAAGCTATGGGATTGTGGCAGTGTTTGCTAACCTGAGGGTCACGACCTATTCAGCATGGTCCTAAGGTCCCCTTGGCCTTCGTTTCCAAATGAGTACTAATATTTTTAGTAGTTAACAGCCTATTGTGAGAATGGTACTGCAGCAGCATACACACTTCTCTTCAGTAATACCTAGTTGTGAATTGCTCATGGCACTATTGTAGCCCAATGCGTGAATGCCATTTCCATTTAAATTTTGGAAATTTTAAAAGAAATAATAATATGCATTTTTAAACATTGGGGCTTCTTTGTTGTAGAGTTAATCAAATGAAAGGTTCAAAGTGCAAATTGCAACATTATATTACATAATATTGGTAACATTTGCGATAAATATTCTGGTGCTGAAGCAGCTTCACGATATCACGAAATATTTTTTTTACCAGGAAAACAATGATTGTTGTCCAAGGTGAGCTCCTAAGAGTACATAAACCATTACCTTCAACATCTGCATCATCACAATGAAACAAGAATGGCACAGGTTATTATTGTCTAATTCTTTTGAAAATATTTATTTGCTTTTCACATTTTAAATGGGGAGGGAGGGTGTAAAAAATTTCCATCTGTGCTGAATTATTGGCCGCCATAATGTTAAGGTTTGTTTCTTCTTATATTGGCACTCAGGCAATTTAGTTCTAGTTATATTAAAGAAACAATTCATAAATAGGGAAACAAACAGTTTCAGTAGCAACTATTGGTGCTTCAGCAGTACATACTTTCTCACAGCACATGAACCTGCAAAATTGTTTCCAACCAGTAAAAATATTATTCCATGTTGAGATTCGAACTCAGATCCTTAAACGTTAGCTACCCATTCACAATACTGCTCTCAGCTTCACAGTTAAACCTAACCCTTTTGTCTCTAAAACAAAAAGGTTGGACATTCGCATTTGCAATTTTCAAAAATTAAGATTTACAGTAACATTATTTCAAGGTCAGTTTTTAAGAACAGATTTCATAGCAGAATTTTTTTAGAATTCTTTGCTATATCGAAGGAAAACTTAAGAAAATGCTTCGAGCCCTTTTAGAGTACTATAAATTGCATTAACTTCAAACAGAAGGATCGCAAAACAAAGTTTTTTTTTCTTAAAGAGACCTTAAACCTTTTTAAAAATATATTGTTGGAGAACGTTTTAAGAAAAAAATATGACCCATTAATATTCTAATTTTGCAACGTTAATTTTTTGCAGTTTTCAAAAATACCTAAAGTTTGCTGAAAATGTGACCAATATTTTAAGAAGAAAAAAATTGAGCTGAACAAACACTTCATTTCACGCAAAATTCCGCGAAAACTACTAATTTTCGGAAAATTGTGACTATTTCAAAATCTTCCTTTGAAGAAAAATTTCATTAAGGGAAAAATCTTGATATTCAATTATAGGGAGTAGGATTGTATTCAGTTGAAGGAAGTCGTCGAAAATGATAAAGAGACCAATTTTCTAAACGTCTCTTTTGTTATTGGGGGGATCTTGAGCCACTTTTGGGAACATTTTGAAAATTAGGGTCTATGTAACGCACCCCCAAAAATAAAAAAGTCCATTTGAACTTTGAGGGCCTCAAGGTCGTTCAGATCGATGGAGAAAACAAATGGCGAAAATCGAACAGTTCAGGCCCGGCGGTTTTACTTCCGGACCATTTCTAATGTAAGAAATCTTTCTTACTAGCTGGGCGAATTTTTAAAATTACCTAGTAAATAATATGATGCGTTTAAGCAAGCGAAATTTTATTATGTATGAATAACGGTAAGTAACTTGGTCCAACAAATTAAATTTTCAAAAAATCTCGGGCCGCGTAAATTCGTTACTCTTAGTTTAGACGCCAGCGTTGACTACAGATTATATTAGATCTTGGAGCCTTGCTATCTGAAGACATCAGCTTTGTCATAAGCAGTGATGCCCAAAGAACAAGAATCCAGTTGGAACATGCAATATGAGAAAAGGTGGAACAATACTATCACTTTTTTTATTGTTGAGACAACATCAAACTATTATAATTTTTGAATTTTTTCTAGAGTTCTTGAGTATCTAGTGAATCCACAGACACCTCTCATATGGCCAGAGGTTTCATGCATGGTTTTCTTTCAATTTCTGCACACATCGGTGATTTGTAATACAGATATTTCCCCCCAAAAGGCTTACACGTTACTAAAAATAGAATCAGAGATTAGGAAATATTAAGTCGATTCTTACCGTAAAAAAAGAGTATCAAAACTAATGAACCAAGGCAATTACTTAAGTACCTAGAATATATTAAACACTGAAGTAATTTATCTTACTGATTAATTAAATTTTTTCAATTAATTTAGACTATTAAGTTGTGTAGGGACAAGACAAAAGAGGAAATTACATAAGGAATGATTTCAGAAATAATTTTGAAAAACAAACTACAAAAAAGGAAATTCATGAAATAAGAATTTATTTCATACCTCTTTGGTTGTCAGAAATATTACATGATTTTCTTAGGAAATACAAGGCAAAGCATAATTAACTATAAATAAATTCTCTACTATACTATCAAATGTCATGAATTGCCCTTAAAAACACAAAACAACACACACACTATATGTTTATGTTATACTATACGTTTATGGAAGCTCTAGCAAACATTGTTTAAAAAGTAAATATTTAAGTTAGCTAATAAAACCCATAAATCACAGACAGAAAGAACAGTTACTCATTCTGAACTTCACCCAGTACATGTAAAAGTACACAACCTTATCTTTAATACAAAATATTACCAACATTTTTAACATTGATGCAAAACCTACTGGAATTGGGTTAGAATAAGGCACTTCATTATTTCTGTACTGGAACATGTTACAGTACTCTAAAATATTTGCACATATAGTTAATATATTTTTGTTAAAAATACACTTTTAATTTTTCGAATTGGCTTTGAAGTTTTAAGATTTTAATCTGTAATTACATGATTAAATTGACCTTACCGAGGTTGTCAACCAACAAGATCCTTTTTATATATTTTTATTGACTGAACAAGTTGACATCCAAGAAAAATTGACACATTCACCATTTGTAATAGATTATACAAATACACTCTACAAGAATATACAATTTATACTGACAAAATTATATTTCACAAGTTTATTAATGAATTACAAAAGGCTAGTCTATCTGATTGCATTACTAATATTGTCAATGAAGTCATTTCAGTAAGATGCAGGCTTTATACGGCATAAATTACATTTATAATGTATGTTTTGTACTGCAAATCATTGGTTCTGATCACTAGAATATGGATGGCTTTTATCAAATATAGACAATTTTATTAACTAAGTCCTTTTAAATATTAAATTTTTTTACCTTAAAAATTGGAAAATGAATCATTAGTAATTCATGCTTAAAAGAACTTCACTATCATAATCACACTAAATGGCACAATGGAATAAACAGTTATATTAATTACTCATGTAATAAAATCTAAAAATAAAAAATGCAATGATCTTATACACACACTGCATAAGTTACCACTAAGAATGGTTTTAACAGAAAAACCTTGTTACATATGCTATTACAAAAATATCGAAACATTTGTCAAAAAAATACCAACAGTGATTTTTATTCAGGCTGCTGTCCTGTATACCTTCACAATTTTTATCATGCTGCAACTGATTCCTGTGCAATTTAATGCTTTAACTTTCTGTTCATCTATTAAAAATGCTGCTTCAAATAATACAAAATATCAATCATCCAAGAAAGTAAGAGATAAAAAATTTAATTCTCTTTTGAAGTGAGATTCTACTATTCCAATATTTTTTTAGAAAAATACTTCATTCTTAAATTACCAGTTTGCCTCCCATTTCTAAATAATCTCATTCACATAAATGAACGTACAATTGCTGCAGATTTTTAAATCAACACAACTTTACAATTATTATTGAATTCAGATCAATGATATAAAATGCAAGCTTATTTAAAATTGAAAATTAATACATACTACAAATATTTGAGGAAATATCTTTTCTCATGTTGCCAAGTCAAAAACAATCCTCCTCAAAGAATTTAAAAAGTACACCCTGACATACAGACTTCAACCAAAAAATCTTTGGTACAGAGAAGGGAAGATCAATTAAATAAGATTTCAGAAAATTGCACAAATAGTATATGAAATATTTACAATTTCATAATCAGCAAATAGCAACTGATTTTACTTATGATGCTGACACTTGCCAGAGCATACTGTAATCGACAGATTGCAGTAAATATTCTTCTTACTTATACTTGTTTTTTACCACTATTTTAGTGCCTTCAATTTCATAGCTGTCATATGAATATTTTCTGTTCACTCTGGAAGCATAAGAAGTAAAAGGTTACATGATTGCAATCAATATACAAGTATTAAGACAAAGGCAAAAATTGGGAAGCAAGAGATCATCTTGATATGCAGGTCCAGTGGTTTAACAATTAGCATACCTAACTTTTCAAGTTCAAACCCGATAAAGCTGTGGATTTTAAGAATGAAAAAATCCTTCTTACATCTTCCTTCAGAGGGAAGGTAAAGCCAGCTGCCCAATGAATATTTTTTCTGCATGTAAAAAATGAAGCCTAAAAGAAGCCTCTGAGCTAAATTCAAAATCACCTGTTTCGTCGTCCGAGTAATACCTTCTTTGTCCGCTAGATGAGAAGGGAGTGTAGAAAAATTTGTGTGTTCAGAGAGTAGGGTGGACCTGTTGGCTCAAGTTTTCTTAACTCAAAATAAGGCATTAACTAACTAAACTATATTATATTTGGTTTCTGGAAAATATTTTAATAGTTCCTCATATTGTGCTATGAAAAATAGCCCCTCACTATTTTCAGAACTAAAATCTAGAAATAGCATAACTATGTCAAAAGCAAATGTCCCTTATTGCATACATAATGTTTTATTTCTTTCATTGTTAAGATTGTACAATGCGTATCTCTTGTAAGGTAGAGGGGGAGGGGAGATGTAGTGTATTGATTTGATTTATTTCGTTAAAAAATAGTAAAAACTGTAAATGAAGTTTGGGGAAGAAATACCATCTAAACATGCTTTCTTAAGCAACAGAATCTCTTCTCGACATTGTAACTATAAATACTTGAATGATGAATAAAAGTTTTAAAAACAACAAAGTTATCAACTTTTGAAAAATGATCACTCCCGAGATATAGGAAATTTATTTGCATCAATAAACAAATTTTTTTGTATAGTATACAAAATAGTAACATATGCCCGGCTCTACTTCTACCACTACTAGCAAAAGGTGAGAACAACAAAGTGTGCGCATAGTGAAACTACATTCAGTACATCCAGAAGCAAAACAAGGGGACATCTCAGCATTTGCTGAATGTGGATCACAGAAATTGGACAAAAAACGGATTGAGAAGGGGTCATTGACCCAGTAGCTGAGGTACATTACTTGTTACAGGCATATCAAGTAATTTTTAAAATTATACAACACTAACACTAACTAATGCATTAATTTAGCAAGAAATTTTATTACATTAACATCAACTAATTGCTAATAGATCATTGATTGCCGGTTTGAAAAGCACATGCAAAGAACGTTTGTGTCATCAGCAAACAGAACTGTTCTTCCATTTTTAATGGACAACAAAACTTCACTAATAAAAGAAAGAGGATACCACCCAAGATTGAACTCTGCAGGACCCAATCTCTCAGAAAGGTGAACACCTCTAAACAACAGCAGTTGTTACAATTCCATTGTGCAACTACAACAGCAGTTGTTAAAATTCCATTGTGCAACTACAACAGCAGTTGTTAAAATTCCATTGTGCAACTACAACAGCAGTTGTTACAATTCCATTGTGTTTTAGCTTTCTTACCTGCATTCATGACCACACTTGCATGAACGACATTTAGGGCAGGGAAAATGACAACCCACACAAAATTCATCCAAACAATCACATAAATCTTTTCCACTAGCTTTGTGGATTCCTTTTTCATCATACACTGCAGCAGCTTTGTTGGATTTACTTTTTCTGGAAGCTCCCGATTCTTGCCTGTACAAAATAAAATAATAATGCTTTACAGCTTCTGTGTATAATCCAACAATAAACAATTATAAAATGTTTCAACTTACTCCAAAGGTTGTGTTTTTCTATCCAGTTTCCTTCTCTCCCTATTACTTGTTTGAGGATCAAAATTTTCCATGAATTTCATATTCTGATTCTGAGTCAGTTTTTTCATAGCATTAGCAATTTTCTAAAAATTAAAATTGAATTAATTTAAAAACATGTTACAGTTTAAGATCACTTTTAACTACTACAGTTCTTAGATATGAAATATGAATGATTATTTCTACAATTCATACACAGAACTCAAAAGACACAATTAAAAATGAGAAACTAATCACATTTCTTTTACGATATTAAAATTAAACTAAACAACACTATGGAAAAAAACTAAGAGCACAATACTTAATATTTCCCTCTCCATAACAACTTCAGGAAACCACTGCTTTGAAAACCAAAACACTAATATTATGAAGAGATTTGAAATGCACAATGGACATTCCAATGACAAGAATATATATTGAGATTCTTGGGCAAAGAATTGCTCTTGTGTAGTAAAGTAAATATCAGGAAGTACTAATCAACAATACTTCTTTGATTCATGGTGTTAAAAAAAGATAGAAGTGTTTTAGAGTCCACAGTTTATGGAAGTCTCTGACAAATATTTATTGTGTCTTTTCTAAGAGATACACATTTTTCAAACAGGAAAAAATCGCACAGAAATCCCACAGAAGCAGGCCACATAATTTTGATAACCATTTCACAAATAAACAAGAAAGCTTTAAAAATCTGCATTATCACCAAAATGAATAACTGATTATCACATAAACACAAAATTAAATTGCACACTACTCAGGTAAAAACAGGAGTGAGATATAAATTCTGTAAATTCAAGGGCTGCAACTTCTGAGTCATTGTCAACAGAAAGTTTTATAGTAAACAAGAAGAAAAATTTGAAAATACAGTTTTTAACACACTCTTAAGTATTTGTGAATTTAGTAGTAAAAGACCCAGCATAAGTAATAAGACCTTTTTAATTACCTGATTTGATTTAAGGCAAATGTGCAAGTACTATGGTAATGCTGATAATGTGTTAATGACATTATTAATGAATGAAATAACTGAAATCATCTTTGTCTACTTAGATATATTCAGGGAGCTTTCCATGGCTTTGCCATCATCATCAGTCTCACTATAAATGGTGAAAGTCGAAAGACAGTGTCTCCCGACTCCTCAAAAGCAGACACACTGAATAAAACTAAGTTGACTATTTCATCCAAATATGCAAGCCTCTACTGTTTAAAAAAGAAACATACAATGGGCATTTAAAAAATACAGCAGCTGACTCCCTGCAACATTTTTATAATCAATTCTCCAGAAAGGCATGGTATTGAACAAGCATAAACATTTCTGTTTTGTTTCAAGACTTGTGAATCACTTTGCCTCTCATGCAATTAAAGAAGCATAATGAAAACCTACAACAATGAATAATGTTTTTTTTTCATTGTTAACAGTGACTTGATTCTACCTGACAGACCAAATCTATCCTTATGTCGATGAAGTTATATTAAACAAAACATTTTGGGTATTGAAAGATGAGCTTTATAGATGAAGTTTAACTTCAGATTTCAAAATCAATTATTATGTATTGAAGTAGCTCAGGAAACAAACCCATGTGACTGGAGAAAGAACATAATATAATAATTTGATCTTGATAAAAGCTCTAGGTAAATTGAAAATGCCAAAGAACAACTTATTTACAAAATTACACGAGATGATTAGTGATGAACAAAGACCCAATTTCGTCTGCAGGGCAGACCTCTCACGTGTGATGATATTAAAAATAGTCAAATAATGAGTTTTGTTGCCAAAAATGTGAGAGCGAGTAGGGAGAAAAAGTGAACATTTTAAATGGTTAATCCCATATAATTTCTGAAAGTGATTACAGTATTTCAAATTAATGAAATCGCGATAATCAAAGTTGACCCATAAACAAAAATTTTAAAACGTTCACTTTTCACAACATTAAAACAACAAACTTGTGTTCCCTTAGATATCATCCAAAAATTACCATGCAGTTTCTTCAAATCTGGCAATTTCTAATTGTCAAATGCCAACTCTGTGATCCTAATATGATTTATGGAATAATAATAAAAAGTAAAAGGAAGCGTGAACACAATTATCCTCATAGCCATTGAAATTAATAAAAAATGGTCAAAATCTAAGTAGACGAGTTGTCAATTTCTTCTACCGTGACCCAGGCAGCAAATTGTCAATTTTTTCCAGGGGGGGGACAGAATTCCATAAGAGTACAAATCCAAGAATTAATGAGTGAGTACCAACTTTGGTTATGTAACAATCTTAATGTGTCCTAAGAACACACCCGGAAAAGATTTCTTGCCCAATTTCCCTGATTTGAACATTTTGAAGAGTAGAAATTATAAACAAGATACCTACAGAGAATTATTTCTACCCCTGGCAAGAAAAATTAATATTTTTACAGCAGGGCCCCTTCAAACTGTCTTGAGAGGATGACTCCTGGCATGTCTCCTGTCAATTTGCACACCACTCTCACCGCAGCACTTAAAAG